CATAATAAAGATAAAAATTCCGCTATTTTCAAACATATTACAGAAACTAAACATAAAATAAGTCTTAATAATATGGAACTTATTCATAACCAACCTAAATCTTTGAAGCTGGACTTACTGGAAGAATACGAAATATACAAACAATCTAAAAATAACACAGATAATTTATTAAATGAAATAATAGAAAACAAATATTCTCGCTTATACCACAAATTTAACTAATTAATCAAAAATTTTTATTTTTCTTTTTGTATTCCGTACGTGCTATATTATAATAACGTTTTTTACGCCACACCCTTATCTTACGATACCTTCCAAGATTTTATCCTTTTTTGTTGAAGTTTTTAATCTGTGATTTTGTTAATCTAATTTAAATTTAATTGTAAATTTAGTTATAAGAAATTAGATCTACTCCTGAACCCCACCTATTAACTAATTCCATTATATTGTATAATTTTTCTATGTAAGTTCACCTTTTCAAATTCCGATTTTCATTTTACCGTTATTAATACGTTCCGGTTAACCTTTGTTTAATTTGTTTCTTCTTTTTCATAAATTTAGGTACTGAAGATGAAACATTAGTTTTCGAAACATGTCTACTTAAACAGAATTAAAACATTTTAATATTTCTCAAAAAAGTTTTTACTTTTACATAAATCCTAATCTTAACTCAATAGAACGCAGACCAGATAAAAAGTTCGATTTCTTTATCCTACTTCTGTTTCAGTCTTCTATTTGGCATAAACGTACTGAAAACCCAGTGACTATTTAAAGGATCAAAATTTTTATATGGTTTGGCTTCTTATTCAACGATAACGATCTTTTTTACTGACTTTTCGTCATTAATAATGTGTTGTTTATAAAAAACTGATTTCACTTAATAAAATTGTAATATTGCAAAAAGATTTAGAACACAGAAGATACAAGAATCATTGAAATGTCAGTAACCTAATCTACAAATTTAAAGTCGTTGTCAATTCACAGCTTTAACTCATTATGACAACTTGTGGTATACTTCTATGTAGCTAGTTTTGAAGACTACACTTCCAAAAGTATGGGTATTATTAAAATGCTTTGTAAGTTTTCGTTGGCTTGTTTTCTAATATCAGATATTTTTACAACTATTTAAGCTAAATTAATAAAGTATTAAAACAATTAAACATTTTCAGGGATATGGTAATCAGAATTTTGCATGACTGTAAAATAAAAGCCAACTGTTCTGGCTTTAATAAATAGTGGATTGTGGTTAATAAATAAAATAGTTATACGAATTAACGAGTCAAATTAGCTTTATTTTTCGTTGTGTTTTACTTGCTATGTTATTGACATTAAATTTGTGTTTAAAGAGTCAACGAAGTCGTAAGAATTTGGGTAAGAAACGGAAGCTTTCATTAGAGCTGGAGTTGGAATTTTCTTCACTTGATTTGCTTGATTTAGATTTTAGATTCATCGGAACTTCCAGAACTTATACTTTCGGAACTGTTGGTTCCTTCGCTAGATTTTTCAGATTCGGGTTTTGGTTTTTCTTCTGATGATTCCTGGGAACTGCTTTCAGAACTTTTACTTTCTTGGCTGGGTATTTCAGGTTCGGGTTCTGGTTCCGGCTCAGGTTCTGGCTTTTCTTCAGATGATTCTTGGAATTGCTTTCCGAACTCTTACTTTCTTCGCTGGGTCTTTCAGGTTCGGGTTCTGGTTCCGGCTCAGGTTCTGGTTTTTCTTCAGATGATTCCTGAGAACTGCTTTCAGAGCTCTTACTTTCTTCGCTGGGTCTTTCGGGTTCCGGTTCCGGTTCAGGCTCAGGTTCTGGTTTTTCTTCAGATGATTCTTGGGAATTGCTTTCCGAACTCTTACTTTCTTCGCTGGGTTTTTCAAGTTCTGGTTCTGGCTTAATTTTTCATGTATTATCTACTCTAGAAGTCTGCCAGCGGTTTTTTGAATCACCCTGTATATGTTGTGCATCGCTGATAATCTGTTGTCTTTCAAAGAATGTTGTTAACCTAGCTTTCATAATTTGCTCTAAAATCTTGGAGAATACCGGCAATATCGCTATTGGACGATATTGCACACATGAGTTACCATCCCCTTTCTTAAGCAGCGTTGTAATTTTCACGACTTTAAGTTTCACTAGACTAGGCTTCAAATAATCAGTTACTCCCCTAATAGATGAAGTAGTCATACCAAAAATGTTTTCACTAGTTTTTGATTTTAGATTTTTTAGTATGTTACTAACTTCATTTTGGTTTGTTGGCTCGAAATAGCATGTGTTAACGAAATCGCCTTTCATGCTCGCCAGGTGGCCGACTGACACCATAGAGGAAGTTGACATTCTTGACAATAATTAGTTCACCTCTTGTGTGTAGTGTTCGCTGAAATCCTTCGCCTTTAATTTCGATCCTATTTCTTTCTGCTCGTTTCGTGGCTTTCTTTGTGCATCGATTACTTCCCATATCTTTTTTTGTTTATTAACTGATTTTTCAATAGTTGTCGCATTTTGTTTTCTCCTTTCTTCTCTTATTGCTTTTATATATTCTTCCTTACACCTCTTATATGTATCATAATCATTGGGAAAGAGACCCGATTATATATGCATTCCTAAAGAATCTAATTTTCGTTTCATTTCTAATAGTCTAGGTGTTGTTCTAAAATGTAGATACTTATTTATTCTATTTGTTTTCTTTATTGTAGGAAATGATTCATCGACCAGTCGCTGAATCTTATCATGAAAGCTATTATAGGCATCCTCTGCGTTAACGAATCAAGAAGTCCTCCAATCAATGGTTTTAATAGCCTCCGTAGAGTATTTAACATTCTGCTCACTATAATTTCGCAGTTTATTTATTGTAGATCTACTAGATTTTTCCTAATTCGGCTTTTTTACTAACATTATTTGTCCGAAATGATCAGACATATGCAGATTTACGGTCGTACAGATACGGTTATTTGTGCCCACGTTCGTAAATATATTGTCAATGCATGTGCTATAAACAATTACTAAACGTTGCTCAACAAGTAGGTATTAATTTAATTAATACTTAGAAGTTGTTCAAAATGCCACCCATTTTCTCTTCTACAAGCATTAATGCGCTGTGTAAAAGATCTTGAGGTATCTCTTACCACGTGCATCTTATTTTCTTTAAAGTCGTAAATTATATGGCAGAACAATTCCATATTTTATTACTTACATCTTTTTAAATCGCATAAAGTACCAAGTTGCATTTAAATCTGGTATATCGGAGCAAAATTATTTTACATTATAAAATATTAATCAAATAATAAAAGGAAGAACAAAAAAACTGATAAAATAGACAGGATGTAATATTAAGTACGATAACGCATATTTTATTACACATTATTCTTTAAATTCTAAATATCAAGAAAACTACTAAAGTTAGATATATGACATACTTATCATTAATTAAAGGTAACTTGATGGGCAATTCAACCAGCACACAATATAGAGCGTGTTCCATTTAAAAAACCTAAGAAAAAGCCATATGAACATGTTGTATAGCGTATTTAATATCTTTGGTTACTAACATTTATCTACTGGCTTTGACTATTAGTTATTACATAGTTTCAAGGCAAAACTGGAAAAAATGTCGTTTTTATATCCTTTTTAAAAAGCTCCTGCAATGGACACATTTTGGAAAAACCATTTAATATCTCAGGAACTATGAATGCTATGAATTAGTAACATACACGGTTGTATAAACAAATTTGATGATATTCATAATAATATATGATAAAATGTATAGGGTGTTCCATTTAAAAAAATCTCCATACTCTCCGTTACGTTTAAATGAAACATCCTGTATAAGTGAAAATAATTTTACGTAATAAAAAGTGGTGAGCAAAACAACTTTTGTATAAAACATTTTTTTCTTTCTCAAACGGTTTAGCAACTATCGTCCGCCGGGATACTAATAACTCGCCCTGTATAGCATGTTTAAGTTTTACGGTATCAGAGGCCAACAACTAAATTTAATAAGATCTAATTTTATGGACAGACACAGTATGTTGAGTACAGCGGTAAAAGTTCATTCAACATAAAAATCAAACAAGGTGTCCTTCCGGGGTCTGCTCTGGGACTTCTTCTATTTATTATATATACTAAGGATATGCCATGCAATATTGACGCAGAAACATATTTCAATGCATAATGATAGCTCCATAATATTGAAAGATAGTGTAAAGTTTAATTTTAAGGCTAAATCGGAACTAGCTACATATATTATCCTGCCAAGAATGGTGTAAAGAAAAATTATTGAAACTTAATTATGATAACATATACTGTTGGAAACCACTCGATATAAAAAAGAATCTGTAGGTGTGAAATCTACACCACAATCTGCACAAATCTACACCTGGATTGCGGATTGATGTGGGATGTGCAGTTGAGGTATCTGGGGTCTATGCTGACTTTCGCAGTTTTTGCAATAAGAATTCTAAAGTAGGTGGCCACTCACCATGCGGCTAGGTTGTGATATTTCGCTTCGTTTCACTAGGTGGCATCTTATCATTGAAAATTTCATTTCTGATGTTCCTCAAGTATATTAATATTTGTTATTGATAAAGCCAGACAGTATACATTGGCAAAAATAAAATTTATGATTAATGATGAGAACTCAATTACGAATTCAGGTCTTGAATCTTAATACCACCACGAGCGTTATTCGCATGTTCGTGGTAATATCTGTTTATTTATAAAAAAATAAGGAGTCACAGATAAAAAGGGTGAGTAATGTTAAGATTTTTAAATTGTTGAGGGCTGTCTGACGTTTCAACAACGTCAATGTTTATTGTTCCTCAATATATCCACTTGTAAAGTGTGTGAATAGCAGTAATTGTCATCTAAGTCACTATCATTTCTTAATAATCGTTTATTTATAGGAGAAATAGCCACTTGAGACAACATTAATGAATATTTTCTAAAAAAATTTAAACAATTAACGCAAATAATCGATTAACTAATAAATTAATACTACTTTAATTTTTTAGATTAACTTTGATAATTCGACTGTATAAATACACAGTTTCATAAGAAAATCATTATAGGTGTTTTGGTTTAACGCCAGATATAACAACTAAGCTAAATATGAAAGGTAAGTGAGTTTTATTTTGTAAATCTTTTAAAATCAATTAACGTTTTTATTATTTTTATTCAAGTTGTGCTCTTATCGTGCGCGGTTATTTTGGCTGCGATCAACTTGGTTCATGCAGAACCAGTTGGAAAATGCCCATCCACAATGAACCCGGAAACAGTCGATTTTCTCGTCGATTCCAGTGATTGCACAGTTTTTTACAAATGTGATTGGGGAAACCCAGTAAAATACGATTGTCCCGATGGATTGCATTTTAACAAAGAATTGAACGTTTGCGATTGGCCAGATCAAGCTGCATGTGAAGGAGGTAACAACGGAGGAGGCGGTGACAGTAGCGAAGTAGGTTCAAGCTCTAGTTCAAGCGAAGAATCTGTAGAAATTCCTGAACCAGAACCTGAACCAGAACCAGAACCGGAACCCGAACCTGAAGTTCCAAGCGAAGAAAGCAAGAGCTCCGAAAGCAATTCCCAAGAGTTATCTGAAGAACAACCAGCACCTGAACCAGAGCCAGAACCAGAACCCGAACCCGAACCTGAAGTGCCAAGCGAAGAAAGCAAAAGCTCTGAAAGCATTTCCCAAGAATCTGAAGAGAAACCAGAACCTGAACCAGAACCCGAACCTGAACCCGAACCCGAACCTGAAGTTCCAAGCGAAGAAAGCAAAAGCGAAGAAAGCATTTCCCAAGAATCTGAAGAGAAACCAGAACCTGAACCAGAACCTGAACCAGAACCAGAACCCGAACCTGAAGTTCCAAGCGAAGAAAGCAAAAGCGAAGAAAGTGGAAGCTCTGGAAACTCCGATGAAGCTAAACCAAATAAGTCAAGTGAAGAAGATTCCGGTTCTGATGAAACTTTCCGTTTCTTACCAAAATTCTTACAATTCTAGTAACTTCTTAAATACAAATATATTATCAATAATAAAACAAGTAATGAGAAAATCAAAAATAAAGTTTATTTGATGCATTAAATTATAACTGTTTTATTAATTAACTACATCTAACTTTCTCATATTTCTGTAATTCATTTGTATGTAATAGCCCTTTTTGCAAATTTGTATCCATCCAAATTATTTCGGTATTTTTGTATATCCTTTTTAGCTGTTAACATTTTACTAAGAATCCTAAGCCAATAGAACACAGACCAGATAAAAAGTTCGATTTCTTTATCCTACTTCTGTTTCAGTCTTCTATTTGGCATAAACGTATTGAAAACCCAGTGAGTATTTAAAGGATCAAAATTTTTATATGGTTTGGCTCCTTATTCAACGATAATGGTCTTTTTTACTGGCAAAAACACTGCAAAAAGATTTAGAACACAGTAACCTAATCTACAAATTTAAAGTCGTCGTCAATTCACAGCTTTAACTCATTATGACAAGTTGTGGTATACTTCTATGTAGCTAGTTTTGAAGACTACACTTCCAAAACTATGGGTATCATTAAAATGCTTTGTAAGTTTTCGTTGGCTTGTTTTCTAATATCAGATATTTACAACTATTTAAGCTAAATTAATAAAGTATTAAAACAGTTAAAAATTTTCAGGGATATGGTAATCAGAATTTGCCAGAACTGTTCTGGTTTTAATAAATATTGGATTGTGGTTAATAAATAAAATAGTTATACGAATTAACGAGTCAAATTAGCTTTATTTTTCATTGTGTTTTACTTGCTATATTATTCACATTAAATTTGTGCTTAAAGAGTCAAAGAAATCGTAAGAATTTGGGTAAGAAACGGAAGCTTTCATCAGAGCTGGAGTTGGAATTTTCTTCACTTGATTTGCTTGATTTAGATTCATCGGAACTTCCAGAACTTCCACTTTCGGAACTGTTGCTTTCTTCGCTAGATTTTTCAGATTCGGGTTTTGGTTTTTCTTCAGATGATTCCTGAGAACTGCTTTCAGAGCTCTTACTTTCTTCGCTGGGTCTTTCAGGTTCGGGTTCTGGTTCCGGCTCAGGTTCNAACTTCCAGAACTTCCACTTTCGGAACTGTTGCTTTCTTCGCTAGATTTTTCAGATTCGGGTTTTGGTTTTTCTTCAGATGATTCCTGAGAACTGCTTTCAGAGCTCTTACTTTCTTCGCTGGGTCTTTCAGGTTCGGGTTCTGGTTCCGGCTCAGGTTCTGGTTTCTCTTCAGATGATTCTTGAGAACTGCTTTCAGAACTCTTACTTTCTTCGCTGGGGGTTTCAGGTTCTGGTTCTGGCTCAGGTTCAGGTTTTGGTTTTTCTTCAGATGATTCCTGAGAACTGCTTTCAGAACTCTTACTTTCTTCGCTGGGGGTTTCAGGTTCTGGTTCTGGCTCAGGTTCAGGTTTTGGTTTTTCTTCAGATGATTCTTGGGAATTGCTTTCCGAACTATTACTTTCTTCGCTGGGGTTTTCAGGTTCTGGTTCTGGCTCAGGTTCAGGTTTTGGTTTTTCTTCAGATGATTCCTGAGAACTGCTTTCAGAGCTCTTACTTTCTTCGCTGGGTCTTTCAGGTTCGGGTTCTGGTTCTGGCTCAGGTTCTGGTTTTTCTTCAGATGATTCCTGAGAACTGCTTTCAGAACTCTTACTTTCTTCGCTGGGGGTTTCAGGTTCTGGTTCTGGCTCAGGTTCAGGTTTTGGTTTTTCTTCAGATGATTCTTGGGAATTGCTTTCCGAACTATTACTTTCTTCGCTGGGGTTTTCAGGTTCTGGTTCTGGCTCAGGTTCAGGTTTTGGTTTTTCTTCAGATGATTCCTGAGAACTGCTTTCAGAGCTCTTACTTTCTTCGCTGGGTCTTTCAGGTTCGGGTTCTGGTTCTGGCTCAGGTTCTGGTTTTTCTTCAGATGATTCCTGAGAACTGCTTTCAGAACTCTTACTTTCTTCGCTGGGGTTTTCAGGTTCTGGTTCTGGCTCAGGTTCAGGTTTTGGTTTCTCTTCAGATGACTCCTGAGAACTACTTTCAGAGCTCTTACTTTCTTCGCTGGGTCTTTCAGGTTCAGGTTCTGGTTCTGGCTCAGGTTCTGGTTGTTCTTCAGATGATTCTTGGGAATTGCTTTCAGAGCTCTTGCTTTCTTCGCTGGGTAATTCAGGTTCGGGTTCTGGTTCCGGCTCTGGTTCAGGTTTTGGTGTTTCTGCTGATGATTCTTCGGAATTGCTTTCAGAGCTTTTGCTTTCTTCGCTGGGTCGTTCAGGTTCGGGTTCTGGTTCTGGTTCAGGTTTTGGTGTTTCTGCAGATGATTCTTGGGAATTGCTTTCAGAGCTCTTACTTTCTTCGCTGGGATTTTCAGGTTCAGGTTCTGGTTCCGGCTCTGGTTCAGGTTTTGGTGTTTCTGCAGATGATTCTTCTGAATTGCTTTCAGAGCTTTTGCTTTCTTCGCTGGGTCTTTCCGGTTCGGGTTCTGGTTCTGGCTCAGGTTCTGGTTTTTCTTCAGATAATTCTTGGGAATTGCTTTCAGAACTCTTACTTTCCTCGCTGGGATTTTCAGGTTCGGGTTCTGGTTCCGGCTCTGGTTCAGGTTTTGGTGTTTCTGCGGATTCTTCACTTGAACTAGAGTTTGAACCTCCTCCAATATCTTCGTTGCTTCCTCCGTTATTACCTCCTTCACATCCAGCTTGATGTGGCCAATCACAAATGTTCAAATCTTTGTTGAAATGTAATCCACCGGGACAATAGAATATTATCGGTGTTCCCCAAGAACATTTGTAAAAAATCTTGCAGTCATTGGAATCGACAAGAAAGTCAACTGCTTTCTGGTTCTTTCCGGGACATTTTCCAACTGGTTCAGCACGAACCATGTGGAACGCAGCCAAAATTACCACGCACGTTAAGAGCACAACTTGAACCAAATAAAAGAAAATATCAATCGGTATTAAAAAAGGTAGAAAATACACTTACCTTTCATATTTAGCTTGGATCTACCTGGTATCTAGCGTTAATCCAAGACACTTACGGCGATTTTCTCCCGAAACTATTAATTTATATAGTCGAATATTCTTTATCAAAGTTGATTATATTAATTTATTTATTAATCTATAAACTGCGTTTATTGTATTATTACTGCGGTACAAATGGTTATTAAGAAATGATAGTGGCATAGGTCACAGTGTGTTTTTTAAAATGTACAAGTACAATATAAAACCTATTCTCTGAACCTTAATTTAACGTTTCAAATAATATTATTTATGGTCTAATTGTAACATTACTATCTTATCATAAAAATAAAATTTGATTTATTAAAAAGTAAATTCTATGAACAATGACCGACTGCTTTGTTGCATATAAAGTTTAAATATTTTTAAGAAATTCAAAAATTTATTGTGGTATTAATGTGCATTAAAAGATAAGGGGTATAATTGAGCTACAAATATTTATGAGCATGACTCATTTATTACTTAGTTTTCTTTATTATAACATTTCATACAACTTATTTACATCGAGCATTTTCTGGTTCAACACAAACATTATCGTCGAGACTGAAATGGAGTCCAGTTGGACAACTCATGTCATAGGCTTTACCCCAATCGCAAACGCAATATTTTTCACATGTTTCCGGATGGGCGAAGAAAACCGGGAATTTGCCGTTTACTTCTTGACATGGTTCATCTGAACACACTCCGTCATTGATTTCTGGAGAGTCAGGTTCCCCACTTCCACTATCAATAGAATCATCATTTTCACATTTAGCATTTTCTGGCCAATCACAAACTTGCAATTCTTTGTTAAAATGAAGCCCAGGTGGACACGATTTATCGTAAGCTATTCCTCTATCGCATTTACAGAATTTATCACAATCTTCTGGGTGAGAGAAAATCTCGGGAAATGCACCGTTTTCTGCTGGACATTGATCATTAGGGCATTTATTTTCTGATGGTTCTGTTTCATTCGATTCTACTTCATTAGATTCTATTTCATTACTTAATTCTTCTTCTGTATTATTTTCATTATCATTTCCATTACATCCAGCAATTTCAGGCCAATCACAACCACCTGTTTCTTTGTTGAAATGTAAACCTTCATTGCATCGGTATTGTACAGGTTCTCCCCAATTGCATTTATAGAATACGGAGCAATCTTCTGAGTCTACAAGAAAGTCTACTTCTTTTGAGTCCATATCCGAAGAACAAGTTCCTACGGGATCGGCGAAACTTGAACTCAAGAATACCATGAGTATGGCGAAAACAAAAACGGTCGCTGAAAGATGTATTAGAATTAAAATTTAATTTTTATTTTTCTTTAATACTTACATTTCATGTTTATGAATGTTTGAATGAACATTGCATGAAGACGGGAGAACATTTGTAGATGCTGGTTTATATACTGCCTCATTATACATTTTTATTTATCAACAATGGTAATCATTTTTCTTATAAAAAATTAGATTAACGTAAGTTGTGGTCTTTATTACGTATGCAAATTGTTTAATAGATGTTATAATCTATTGTTTCTTATCAAATGCATTGTTATGTTGGTCCTAACATATAAAACTATATTTTCTTAAAACATCTTTGTAAGAATGGAAAGTTATAACATGTGTTGAAGTAAGAAAATTTATTAATTCCTAGAATTAGTTATCTAAGATTAATTTTAATTGATCATGTTATACGCAATTCAAATTTATTATCAATCTATTATATTACTATTTAGATAAATAAGGATTCTAAATTAGAAGTTGTTATCGCAATGATAAGTTTTTCAACAATCTTTAATAGCTTATATTAAATTTATTATCTATTAGTGCTACATATAAAAAAATGTACTTGTTGAGCTACTGCGCAGATTTTGCCTTCATTTAAAATGTATTATGCATTCATAGCCTTAATAAGTAAGCGTTTTCTTTGTTATCAAGAATTTTTTTTTGACTAAGCAATTTAGAACATGAATGTGGAATTCATATATTTGTTGACCTTCCTTTATACAGGGTGATTCTTAACCACGCATAAACTTGGGTATTTACTCCTCATGACGAATAATGACTAATAGGCGAAAAAATTAGTAGTAAAAGATTTTCTGTTTCATAGATATCCGTGATATTTACTTTCAAATCAAGAATACATAGAACATTTTAAAATAACATCACAGCAAATGTTCGAAGTTATTTCCCATATTTTCTATCACTTGGGTTCCCCGAATCCAAGATCCCATACTAGCGCGGCCTAAACCAGGGTGTTGGCGGATTGTCTAGTATCTGATTTTGCAATATTTGCTGAGTATTAACTTCCGTGGCGTACACTCTGCTCTTTAAGTGACCCGAAAGGTATAACTCAAGAGGATTGAGACCGGGCGATCACTGTGGCCAGGCCATTGGACCATCTCGACCTATCCATCTTCCAGGAAACACATTATATAGATGTCGCCGATTATATCGGATATCTAGGAATCTACTAGGAATCTAGTCATTATTTGTCCTGGGGAATAAATCCCCCAGTTTATGCGTATAGGTTGAGAATCACCCTGTATATCACAAAATGGAGATTTTGAGCCTCCTGGAAAACCGACAATTTAGTGTTGATGGAAACTCAGTTATTGTTCAATTTAGTTGGAAGTTGCGATTGCAAAATTAATGGAGATCTTGACCAGGAACAAGTTGAATAAGGAAATAGAGGATAAAGGAGTGTTTAGTAACGATCAATGCAGTTTTAGGGAAGTTCATAAAAGCAATAAAAAGAGTGCAAGGAGTTTTGGATAAAGAAAACTCTCCTCTTCGGTATAACAGAGTTCCTCAGATCATTTTGATTTAGTTGTAACAGGAAAAAACATGCCATGCTAGAAGTAGAATTTAAGATCGGATATGCCGTCAAAAGCGTAATAATATAAATTGATGTGTTCGTATCATTTTATTTGATTTGTTTTTCGAATTTTCTAGAACTTCCCTTCCGGACGTGATGCTTTATTTGCTAGGTATTTCAGTTTTGTATTCTGGTTTTTCTTTAGATTCTGTTTGAGAATTGTTAGTTCAGGTCTTGGTTTTTCTTCTTGGGAATTGTGGCTCTGGTTCAAGTTGTAGAGACCTAGAGCTCTAGAACTAAGACTTTCAGCTTCGGGTTCTGATTCTGCTTTTGGTCTTTCTTCAGATTGTTGTAAATATAATTGATAAACAAGTAAACACTATACATAAAACACAAAATGGCCATTCTTGTATGGATGTTAAAGAGTACGCACCCAAAGAATATGGGGTTTAATAAGGTGCAATGTCAACGTTTTTTTGACAATTTAGCACAATGTTGCACAAGAAGACCAAAGCAGGACCTCATCGTATTTTTAATATGGATGAAACTGGTCTGTCGACTGTACCCAACAAATTGCCAAAGGTTTTCTCATCCAAAGGTAAAAAGTGTGTGGCTAAGATGGTACCAGCTGAAAGGGGCCAACTAATAACTGCCGTATGTTGCATGAGTGCATCGGGTATATGGGCTCCTCCTGCTCTCATTTTTCCTCGAAAAAGGATGAAGGAAGAACTATTTTATGGTGCTCCGCCTGGAACTTTAAAACTAATTTCAGATTCTGGGTATATGAGTTCAGAATTATTTATAGAATGGCTACGTTATTTTCAAACCTATGTAAAATCAACATCAGACGACCCGGCTATTCTTATTTTAGATAACCATATTTCCCACTGCTCCTTACAAGCCATTACGTTTTGCCGAAAACATTTCATAACGTTATTGTCGTTACCACCACACTCAAGCCATAAGTTGTAACCTTTAGATAAAGCTTTTTTGCTCCTTGCATCACTATTAGACAGATGGCAGCTTTATTCCATTCGGCATATTCTAAAGTTGCCAATATTTCCATACAACCCAGATACTTTTAACGATGTAGATTTTGCTCCAGCGGAGGTAACTAACATACTTATGTTTGATAGTCAACAGGATTTCGATAGTGAAGATGCTTTGCCACTATCTCATTTTTTACTTAAAAGACAAGACACAATAATATCTGAACTATCAATAAGCAATGACGACCACCAGACACAAATTCAAGAACAGCAAATATTAACAATTCAGAAAGAACAAACCACCAACGAAAACAGTCAAGCAGGACCAGGACCATCAATTGCATCTACAAAGACTCATTGCCAGACACAACAGAAAGAACTAATCACACCAAAAAACACTAGATCATATCCGTCGACAAGCAAACTCTAATTCTCTGACTCTAAGACTCAAATTCTCAACACGAAACAAAAGTCTTCTGACGATACCAGCAAATACATTCTACGGGAGTGACACAATTTCAATCACACCGGAAATAATAATACTTCTTCCAGAAGCAAAACCTGTTCAAACTGAAAGAACTAAATCAAAAAAATCCGAAATTTTATCTTCTATGCTTTACAAAGATGCACTGTTACAACATGTGAAACGAGGTGATTCGATCAAGAGGAAAATTTTACAAGAAATTAAAGAAGAAGCATCGACAAAGAAAGGAAAAAGAACATCCCGTGCGAAGAGAAAGTAGAAAAATATGTGAACTACAAATGCAGAAGAAGATGATATTTGTCCTAGTTGTCAGGAAAATTACAGAAGCTCTTATTCTGAATCAGGAACTTGCTTGCAATGTTATAAATTGCATTATGGTGCTGCTGCGTATAATTATCAAGGACAAAAAGTTTTTTTTGTGTGACTCGTGTGAAAATTAATACACTTTTCATTTGTATTATTTTTAAACAGAATATTGTGTTTTATTTAGTTCATCTCTTAGGGAAATGTGTTTCTAAGAGTACGTGCGCTCGCTTTTTTTATAACACTCTCTGTACATTCCTATGACCATTTCTTAGTTTGTAGGCATGGGTACGTACATGTCATAGAATAAACTCGTTTTGATGTGAAATCCATTTTTTATTAAAAAAAAAAGTTAAGTGCGTACTCTTAGGTGCACCTCCAGTAGCTTAATGAAACAAAAGTCACATACTTACTAAAAAAGACATGTGTGTACATGGTTACAAAACAACAATAAATAAATATTAGATTTTACCAAATTTCGACCAAGTCGTGTGTAAATTTATTACTACATAAATAGAAATCCCAACACAGATCCTTCTTGGGAATTGCTTTCAGAGTTGGTTCTAACTTCGCTTGAAATGGGTTTAAGTCGAGGTTTAGGTTCAGAAATGATGTATCCAGAAATACTTCACTTAAATTAGAGCTTGAGATCTTTCAGCTTCTGGTTCTGGTTCACTTTTCTTCAGATGATTCTCCGGAATTACTTTTGGAGCTGTTGCTTTCCTTGCTTAAGATAGATTCTGCTAACGATTCTGGTTCTGACTCTGGATCTGGTTTTGGATCTGGTTCTTGCTCTGGATTTAGTTCTGTTCTTGATCTTGTTCTAGTTTTTATTCTGCTCTTGTTTTGGGTATTGCTCTGGATCGTGTTTTAGTTCTGGTTCAGATTCAGCTTCAGGTTCAGATTTAGTTTCTGGAGTTTTCTGAGATTCATCACTTGAGCTAGTGTTTGAACCATCTCCACTACCTTTATTGGTCTCTTCGTTGATATTTCCTTCACAACCACTTTAGTTTGTCACAATCACAAAAATTAAATTTTTTGTTGTAGTGCAATCCATGGCACCCACAATCGTATTTTTCAACTGTGTAATGTAATGACATTATACATATGTTGTGTCGATATAGAGCTCAACATTAATAGAATTCTTCACTATGACAGGGGTACGCACCGAAACAAATATGACCATGTCACCTTTTCACTTGATTCTGGCAGAAAGGAAAGCGATACACGAGAAAAGAACAGAATGTATCAGCGATGGTCACTACACAGTAACTTCTCCCCATCATCTCAGTACATATTGAAGCATTGCAATGTAGATGACATGACACTTTAGCTGAATATTTTTATAACAAAATTCAAAAAAATTCTTACAACATAATAATATTTTTATTTATTTAAACAACATAAACATTTTTATAAATCAAATAAATTATTCGCATCCTGCATCGGCTGGCCAATCGCAAACATTAAGTTTGGTATTGAAATGAAGTCCATCTGGGCATGGCATATCATAGGCAACTCCCCAATCGCATTGGCAGAATCTACCACAGGTTTCAGGGTGGGCAAAGTAATGAGGGAAATCACCATTTTCTTTTGGGCATGGATCATTTGGGCATCTGCCTTGACCGTTTCCATCGCCACTTTCGTCACTTTCGGAGCTAGAACTAGAGCTGGAGCTACCGGAATCTTCTTCAACATTGTCATCTCCTCCTTCAACTACTTCTTCATCGTCATCCCCTTCATCGCTTTCACTACTGCTGCTGCTACTTCCACCGTCATCTCCACCATCACCGTTGCATCCAGCTTTATCGGGCCAA